ATAATGTTACTCTGTACGAACAAGAAAAGATTTGCGCCATGTGGCGCACCTGTGCAAATGTTCTTCGCTGCAATCCCCTTGCTTGTCTTATTGTAGTCAGTTTCATCACATTTACTTCGGTGTCCCAAATGATTTTACATTTCATCAAGAACTAATGTGCAATTTACCGTGAGCCGCTTGTGTAACCTTCAAGCGCCTTTTCTGCCCCTGGCATCAAAATTAATTGCTACTCCACTGCAAAACTCCCATATGATCATCCATGTTAGTGGACAAGCATGCTGGTAATTTTGTAATGAACGTTTTTAATCACACCGTAAGACCAGCAAACAAGTCCCACATGATAAGCTATTCTGCGACTAGCGTTATTGCAAAATACAACTATTCTGAATGGCAATCTAAGCTAGGTTGGTAATATTGCCCTGAATTATAGCCTGGCTGATATTTTTTTACTAAAAGTGGAAAATTGGTCAACAAAACGATGACAGTGCTAGCTTAAGAGAATATCTCTGGGTAACATCTACATGTCAATTTTGACGAATATATTTCTTGACCCTTTATTACTACACTGTTAATTCACGTTTCCACATTAAAGCTTCACCAATAAAAGCCAGGTGAGTTAAATGCCTGAATACCAATAAAGTCGGATCCCGCTTTTTACCGATAAATGTGTGAAAATGATCACGGGAAATGCGAAATTGCGTAGCGCTACTTATCAGGTCGATACGTAAAGATCGCACATTTTGAGTGAGCATGGTAATTTATGGAAAACATCACATCCTCAGTAGCTGCATATCTAGTTGTCGGCCTCCTTCTATCTACACTCTGCGGCCTGGTCAATGAGTCCACTATTACCCAACCATTCGTGTGTTGTCATTGGCGACGTCCTTATGCCCTGTGATGTTTAGCGTTGCAGCAGATTTGAGTAACTGTTCCGTTTGCTCACGTATACGCATTGCGCCACGAAACATAAGCAACTTTCGCCCGGATCACTTCAGATATACTATCAGATATACAATCCCATGCGGCGACTCACGCTGCGTTAGTAACAATCTAGCCGTCCCCAGGGCATAGAAACCAAGTTATAGTGAGCCAACTGAGCTATACTCAGGACACTAATGCATCTATCGACCCATGCTGAGGCTGATGTTGCATTCTTGATGCTTCTTCACCGCAATTGGACTAAACCAACTTACATTTAAACCAGGTATTTTAAGCTGGATAAATTTTATTCCACTTTATTTGGTTTGTCCTGCCTAACTGAATAATCTTCTATAACCTGGCCACATTGCTTACGCTAATCGTGCTTATCTTCGGTAACTTGATTGTGTTTGTAGCATTTCTAAAGTAAATTGTGGACATATTTCCCTTATCGCGGATTCGTTGCTGACCAACTTACTTCATAGGGTAATTTAGCGAAGAGTTAAGCCACCGTATTTGTATGCATTATTCGAGTTATTTTATTTCATCATGCCGTTTCAAGTGATTGGCTGTTACTTGATGTGCATGCTGACAAGGTGCCTACCTGTCTATTAACTACTACGTCGTCCATAATGGCTCCAGGAGACAGTTGGTCGTTGCTGGAGTGGAAGGGGTGCACTGTCCTCGTGGCCATGCTAGTCTCCAAGAACGGTTCCATGCACTCAGTGTGGAGCTGACTACGGTCCAGCCAACGCCTTGGGTGCGCTTGATTCCCCAAATACAGCGTGCTTGTGTTTACCTGTGAAGGAGTGTGGGCCGACTCCGTTGATGAAACGTGGCTCTTATCCACATGCCTCCCGGTCTTATTCCTTCGGGTTTACACTGGATATGGGGTGTGTGGTTGGAGCTGTGGGTGGTGCAGCACAAACCACCCATGGTCCCTCTGTAGGCGCAGGCGTCCTGTGGCTGGCCACAGTGATAGGCAAATCCGAAACCGGATGCCACCAACCATGCGTCTATCGTGTGTAATCGCAGTGAACCACATGAGGTCTTCAGTTGCCGCGGCAGTTATTGCACAAACATACTCTGACACTAGCTGAGTTTCCATCAGGACACTACCACTAGGGGACAAATCATGTGCGTTGATAACATCCACCTTTCTGTATAGTTTTGCACCAAACTGCTGTTATATCTTGCCACCGAAAGCATGCTTCGTCTTGGCTGGGTTAGTACAGGAATTTGCTGACGGTCAGTCTTGGTTTCACGTTCGGGTCTCAATGCAGTCGTGCTAGGTCACGCGTTTTTGTTGCGGGCCCGTCAAATATCCCCGCGGAAACGCGCCAGAAACTCCGGCATGATGGTTGTGGAAAACAGGGTCCACTACCTCCCCACAACGCAGCAGCGTTCAGACACTCCGAGACGCGGCCCAACTGCGCACCTGTTGACAATGTTCTGTTGCAAACTGCCACCCCGTCGGGGCAGCAATTTTCCCTAACTTAATGACCTATTGCATTGGCTGTGATTCACCCTTTGTTTGTCGTAAAACAGCCTTCAGAGGACCACTTGCCTTTCTTCCTCTTCACCGTAGTTGGGACTCAGTCGGGTCACGTGATGTTGTGTGCGCCGACAGCCAGGCAGCGTTCGCGTCCAAGCCCCTGGCGCGCGTCTACTGTATCCTCCTCTCGTGTTCCGAGGGCTCAGCGTCTACCCGGATACGTGCGCCTACGATCGTTCTCACGCTCGCTCAATTTCCGTCTCACCAGCGCGTACCCTGGGCTAAGGTAACGCTATCAGGTCTGTCCGTTCGATAGGCCAGCGTAGGCGTGCTCCAACCGCGCCAGTGACAATCTTATCAGGCGTCCCCAATCGTAAGAGTTTTCGTCTCCAGTCTCAGCAGGCGCGTACGTCTGGTGGCTAGATCTTGTTAACCTACAACGCTCCGTATTCAATTGGCTACTTTGCGTGCTTGGGTATTACGTGTGAAGAAGGTTCATCTATTCCGACTGAGTCAGAACAAGTAGAACGCGCTGTCAACATACCCCTATGTCCTAAAAGTAAGTGTACTGATTTGTTATTTAACTGTATATAAGACACTAGAATTTATAAGTTAGCTGCTTCAAAATGTGACCCTTGGTAAGTTACACAGTGGTCCCAACGTTTTTTCACCGACCGTAGCAATACTGGATGTCATTTTCCTTAAGAGCGCTAAGTTCATTCGTTACAATATTTTGTTGTTTTCCACGGTCCCATGATGATGATGACATATCAAATTATATTCGAAGTTAGGGAAGAGGTAGAAACCTCTGAATGTTAGGTCAAGATTGTGTTGGTGTGGGGATGTTTTCATTCTCAAAATCTCTGGAACTGAAATCGGTGTGTGATCAGGCACATTTAATTGATGCACCACTCAATCATCTGCAATGTCCCTTCGGAATAGTTAGACCCTTCCTCGAACTCATTCCAAAACACATTTGTAGGAAGTTTGATGAAATGTCTCCTGGACGTACGAATTCTTTGTGAACAATTCCACCGCTGCGGAAAAACGACGGTCATCGTTTTCGTTAACACAGCTCACACAACTACCACATTCTGATCGTTTGTTGACAAGATCGGACTTCCGGAATGAGGTTCGTATTCAACATATTCTCAACCCTCTGTGAAAGCATTGTGCTACGTAAAAACATATTCCTCCATAGAAAGGCATTTTTGTAAGCTTCCGTTAAATTTGCGTATGTCTTGGTAATAGATTTCTTTAGCTCCACACAAGCTTTGATCGCGTAACGTTGTTCGACATTACGCTCCACCGCAAATGTAACGAAGTATTACCGCACGACCTTACACAAACTACTGTAACACGGGAATGACAACCGATCGAGTTGAAACGAATTTTGACATGCAGCTAAGCTCTCTACCCATGTACCGAAATCCACCAATGAGGTGTCTAGTAGTCTAGTAGTACATAAGAAAACCAGTAGACTTAGTTTTGGGACCTAGTAGTATGCTAAGGCAGCAACATGGTACATTGCTCATTCTTCTCAACTGACAGTGACATCCAATCGCTGGAAAGTTAAACCAATATGAAAAATACATGAATTCTCTGGACCAAAAACAGGATGAGCTACGAGGTTATTTGTGTATCATAATGTTGCTTTAGCTAAAACTTACAGTGTAACATTCCATACCAACCGCGTATATAGATTATCAAATACGTTATTACCGTTTGTTCACTCTTTTAGTACGATTTCAATATCAGTGGTCCAGCTTCGACTTCGCATTCCGTTCAGCTATTTTTACCAACCCGGTCTTTTTGCCGCTTTTACGCGTTCTGCGCAAACTTATGGCTGGGATTCGCCTTTTAACAGACAATTATACAACTGCTTAATGACGCTGTGCGACCAGCTTTGTCAGCTTGTTTAGAGGCAACGTTTTTGGGTGCAAGTTTTGGGTCATAATTGCGGCCGCATTCATTTTCTCAACCTTTGGGAAGTCTATGCAACAAAAATATTCCCAGTCAAACTCGTACAGGAAGATCAAGTAAGGAGCCAACAATATCTAATGATAAGTTTTTACCCTAACCCCAAGATGCCATACAGACAAGTAAATCAACTTCTTAGGGTTAAAGGCAGATGTCCTTCTTTACACACAACATGCGCGCAAGCACAAATGGCACAAGGGGTAGCCAATGTCCTTGAACAACGGTTTGAGCGCAGCTTCTAGTGTACAACCTTCTTACATCCTATATGCGCAGACCATGTCGCCATCAATAGTTTACCACATATCCCTTACAATCATAGCTATTCTGAAACGGCTTATATTCTGGTGCACGCAGCATTCGCCGAAGGCGTTAAAATTGGTGCTGAGTTTAGTCGAAATGTCAGTAACACTCTCTCAGCGATGTCTTAACGAGATGCGTGTCCCAACGAGGTGGAGGCACGGGATCATCCCTCCAATCTAGTAAAGTGGAAGCCGTGCAGAACAAGCAAATTATTGGCCGAGAACACTACTTACTGTGCTCTCCAAGATTATGGAGCGCATTTTTACTGCAACACCCATGGGAAAACTGGAGGGTAAAAAAGTCTGGCTCAGGAGTAACACAGGTTTAGCCAGAATCTTTCATGCAAGACAATCCTGCAGAGAGCTCTTACAACATCATCATCATCATCATCATCATCATCATCATCATCATCATCATCATCATCATCATCATCATCATCATCATCATCATCATCATCATCATCATCATCATCATCATCATCATCATCATCATCATCATCATCATCATCATCATCATCATCATCATCATCATCATCATCATCATCATCATCATCATCATCATCATCATCATCATCATCATCATCATCATCATCATCATCATCATCATCATCATCATCATCATCATCATCATCATCATCATCATCATCATCATCATCATCATCATCATCATCATCATCATCATCATCATCATCATCATCATCATCATCATCATCATCATCATCATCATCATCATCATCATCATCATCATCATCATCATCATCATCATCATCATCATCATCATCATCATCATCATCATCATCATCATCATCATCATCATCATCATCATCATCATCATCATCATCATCATCATCATCATCATCATCATCATCATCATCATCATCATCATCATCATCATCATCATCATCATCATCATCATCATCATCATCATCATCATCATCATCATCATCATCATCATCATCATCATCATCATCATCATCATCATCATCATCATCATCATCATCATCATCATCATCATCATCATCATCATCATCATCATCATCATCATCATCATCATCATCATCATCATCATCATCATCATCATCATCATCATCATCATCATCATCATCACCATCATCATCATCATCATCATCATCATCACCATCATCATCATCATCACCATCATCATCATCATCATCATCATCACCATCATCATCATCATCATCACCATCATCATCACCATCATCATCATCATCATCATCCATCATCATCATCATCATCACCAGTGGCATAAGCTGCTGACTGGCGGTTCAGTCCGCTGGTGGTCTTCGGTTCGAATCCTGATGGATCCGATGGATGCGCACTACTGATGATGCCCAACAGGCTGAAACTGCAGTCATTAAAACCTCCATATTTTAAATTTTCGAGTAGTTGATTGGGTTCCTCCACGAATCCGGATCAACAGGTTGCTAATACTTCAGGCGCGCCCAGCGAGTCCTACCGCGGTCTGCGCGTAGCCTTTACTAATGTATGCAGTTTGATGAACAAACGCGATGTGCTGTACGACTTCGTAAGCTCTCAGCGACCGGACGTATTAGGCCTTGCTGAGACATGGTTAAACTCCGACGTAACCGTCCAAGAAGTGGAAATCACCGGCTACTCATGCTTCCGCTGCGATAGACCATCAAATGATCGCGGTGGCGTTCTACTTTACCTAAAGTCTTCCTTGTGTGGGAGACTAGTGAGCGCCTACCAAAGCGCTGATGGCCTATGTGAGCAGTTATGGTGTTCGATACACCTCAGACGCTGCGAGTTGCACGTGGGCGTGGTATATCGCAGCCCACTGAGCCGCAGTTTGGACTGGTTGCCGCATGTCCGCAACCACATGAGTCGTCCGATGTTCCTACTCATGGGCGATTTCAACTTGCCCCGAATACAGTGGCCTGAAGCTGAACTTCTCCCCGGCCACTGTGAAGTCGAGAGGAAGTTTACGGAGTTGCTATTTGAAACCGCGGCCACACAGCACATCAACCAACCGACACGCATTACAGCGCGCGCAACTCCATCATGCTTAGACCTGCTGTTGACTAGCTGTGAGCAGCGTGTACATAACATTCAAGTCTTAGAACCTCTGGGAGCGAGTGACCACTCAGTAATCATAGGCAGTTTAGAACTACCGCTACCGTATCCTCTCCCACTAGAGTCAACCTTCAACTATTGGAAGGCGGACTTTAATGGCCTCATTCGAGCAGCGAGCCAGATAGACTGGTCTTTACCACAGGATTCATCTATTGAAACCTGTTGGGCTATCATTAAAGAGGGAGTGAAATCGTTGTGCGCCCGATTTGTGCCCCTCAAATTTCGGAAAGTTGGGCCAGTCAAACCACATTGGTTTGACAAAGAGTACAACAAAATGGCCCGACGGCGACGTAGACTATGGAACAAATTCGTGTTATCTGGCTCTGATGAGGACTACAATGCCTACAAGGTACAACGAAATCGCTGCAACAAGGCGAAAACAAGCAAACGCAGAGGCTTCGAAGAGGAGCTTGCAACTGCCGCAAAAACTGCTCCCAAGAGGATCTTCGCATATGTGAAGCGGCGCCTAAGGCCTATAGCTAATATCCCAGTGTTAGAAGGCTCAGAAGGACAGCCTCTAACCTCAAGTACAGATCGTGCGTCAGCATTGGCAACGCACTTTGCCTCCGTATTCGCAAGTGACCAGGTGTCTGTAATGAGTTCGACGAGCACCGCTCCAGCCGAACTTAACAGCCTAGACTGCAATATTGAGGATGTACGCAATATTCTAGCAAATCTTGACGGGACGAAACCTGCTGGGCCAGATGGTATACACCCACTAATCCTCAAGTCATTATCGACCATAATTGCACCTTCTGTAACTGAACTGTTTAACAGGTCACTATCCACTGGTCTACTACCGGACGACTGGAAATGCTCAGTCGTAAAGCCTATCCCGAAAGGTGGTAACCCAAGCAAAGTGGATAACTACCGGCCGATCTGCCTGACGGCAGTTTTGGCAAAGACGCTCGAGAAGATCGTGAAGAAGAGCCTTCTGCAACTTCTCGAGTCGAAAAACCTGTTAACCTCCGCACAGCATGGTTTCCTGAAAGGTCGTTCGTGCATCACCAACCTACTGTTGACGAGGCACGAATGGTTACAAGCGCTGAACAAAGGCCAATCGCTTGACGTCATTTACATTGACTTCAGTAAGGCTTTTGACAAGGTTAACCATGCAGTGCTCCTTGACAGACTGAGGATGTGCGGTGTTGGTGGTTCGCTGCACAAATGGATCAGAAATTTCCTTATTGATCGGAAGTGGAGAGTCCAGGTGGACAACCATCTAACTGACTGGTATCCATCGAGCAGCGGCGTGCCCCAAGGCACTGTACTGGGACCGATATTGTTTCTAATCCATATAAACGATGTGCCTCAGCTACTACAATCACATTGTGCTTTGTTTGCAGATGACTTGAAAGTGTGGAGAGTAATCCGCACACTCAATGATTGCGATTTACTTCAGCAGGATCTCTACCGCCTCGCAACATGGTCTGCAGAGGTTAACCTTCCGATCAACCCTGCCAAGTCGCAATTCATGAGGTTGGGTAAGTATGATCACGGCCGAACGTACACAGTGGCTGGTCAACCGTTACATCCCGCTCCTTTCGTGCGCGACCTCGGTGTACTCTCACGGTGTGACCTAAAGTCCATTGACAACACGAATAGGCTGTACCAAAACAGCCTTCGTATGCTTTGGGCTCTCAGGCGCAGCTTTAGCACTTGGTCCGAAGAGATTGCCACTCGCCTCTTCGTTTCGATAATACGACCAATGCTAGAGTACGGCACTCCCGCATACTGTCCCATCACCCGGGGCGAAGTAGAAAAGCTTGAGCGGGTGCAGCATGTAGCCACCAGGCTGATTCCCAACTTACGAGGTATGCCATACGAAGACCGATGTAAGAAACTAGGGTTATACACCCTATCTTATCGTCGGCTGAGAGTTGACCTCATCATGACGCACCGGATATTACATCTAGGTGATTACCCCATGTTGAGACAACTACTTCATCTGCGCACACCAAGCTGCACGCGAGGACACCGGTATAAACTTATCGTCCCGGATTTGAAGCGGGTCGCCCATCAACTCTGTTTCGAACGCAGAGTGGTGAATGTCTGGAACGACCTGCCTCAGCATATAGTAGAAGCGAACACAGTGGCTAAATTCAAGATGCTACTAGACCAACAATTTGCAGAGGCAAAGTACAAAGAGCGAAACGATAAATAAAAGTTCATGTCCGAAAACGACAATTGATGCAGCTACACAGAGCAACCTCTACTCGCTGCTTCGCACCAGTTCTCAGTTCTCAGTTCTCATCATCACCATCATCATCATCATCATCATCCACCACCGCCACCACCATCATCATCATCATCATCGTCATCATCATCATCATCATCATCATCATCAATCATCATCATCTTCATCGTCACCATCATCGCATCCTCACGGCAAAGAGAATAAGTAATAGCGGTTAACATTTGGGTCTCTACCCGCTTGCGGGACCACTGAATAGATTGGTCTGCTCGTCGATCGGTATGTGTGCCTGACGATGAAAGCAGCTTTGTGGTGCTGGATGCGGGCAGAATGAATGCGAAAAATGGGCAAATAGTGGGGCACAAAATCTTCCTTACCTGACTTGGAAACTGTCGTATAAAGGCGAAGCTGTGCTTAGTTGACAGCTTTGAAACCGTTCTATCGAACACAGTAACACAGTTGGTCAAGAATAAAGTGATACGCGTGGGTCTAAGCACATGCAACGTAATAACAGCAGAAATCATTGGAATGGCGACCCACACCAGATATGCCGTTTATGTTCTCTCAAAGCATAGAACATATTAATACGATCCGAATGAGTATAGACTGAATGTACTGTCGGAATAAGGACAGCAAGCGTTCCGCGAGAATGAAGAATGCAAAGCCGATGTGGCAACGCCGCATGTAGAGGGCGTGTCCCAAATAACACACATGTTCCGTGTATGCTCACAAAGCCAGTTTGGTACTAATTCTAACACGGATTCCACAATGACAAATAAACTTTATGGGTTTTGAACATTGATATAGAGTGATGAGTGCTGTGACAACCAAAAAGCAAAAGAAATGACTTCGGACACAGTCATGAAATACCAACCTCACCCCAGCACTGTCGACGATTCGATGTGGGATTGACACCGATTTCTTAAAGGAGAACAGAACGTCTGATGGAGCTTTTATAAAAAGAGTATGGCTGCCAAAGGGGATTTTATCGTCTGTACACACAAATGATTCAAAAATTGCCCGGACAAATCAGAGGTCAGTCAAAGGTTTGGTAAACCTCGTCAATGTTTACAGTAGAATCGAGTTGCAGTCAGTCGTGGGACGCACGGTAACCTCAAAATAGGAATGGCGGAAGTAATATAAACCAATAACGAGTTTCTCTTCCAAATGTTCGCTGAGATCGGATCAGCATCTCAAAGGATTTGGGGAGTATTTGTTCTTCGTCCGTCCTTTGAGAATAATGGCATCGACCACAGTTGAAAGATGCGAAGTGGAGCTGATCTCCACAAACCGTTTAGAACCGCTATCATATCTAAAAGCACAAACGAAAACTTATGCAATTTATCAGCTCGTAAGCTGAAATGCTACGTTAACTGAAATCGGCGAGTGCCGGACACCATACTAAAGGATGCAGCTGCCGAGTTAATGATTTTTAAGGGTAGTTCTAATGAGCCGACAGGACAACTAATCTAAATCGAAAACCAGCTCATAATTAACTGCATAATGCTTCACTAGATTTAGTTAATTAGATAGGGCTATTAAATATGGGATGTTTCAACCTCTACACGCATAAAAGACGCATAGCCAATCGTTAGTAAACTTAGAAAAGTTAACAGTCCACCTGCTTTCATACCCACATAGATCTATAAAATCCGCTGGCACACATCAAACTAATCGAAGGGGTGTTTTCATAATTATATTTTTAATCCAAAAGCTGATGTAAGCAATTAGAAATTTCACCCCAAAATTTCCTTCGAGATAATCCTTAAGGTTAGTCACAATTAGTGTCCACTTGCAGCTTCATCATCCAGAAAAGTTAGCATATACATATTAGGCCAAATTCAAGCATATAACCAACTTCGCTTGACTAGCAGGTTTGTTTTTACAAAGCAATCTTAGTGCATTGCCTGGCGACAACCATAGAAAAACTGATTTTTTTTGCAACAAAGGAACTTGTATTTACTCACTTATAAAATCGGTCAACCATATCGGAAAAAATTTTCCTAGGTCCAAGCCCGCACACACGATTTGCTATATCTTCGGTTACTGCATAATTATACAATGCACAGTATTGGCATTGACTCCGAAGCAAAATGATAAAATGCCTTCCATCTGTGCATCCAAGTGACTGCATTGGGAATCGAAGGCATAAATAAAGTGGACGTTTCATATCTGGCAAAATCATTGAACTAATGAAATGTTTCTCCATAGATACATAGACAGGCAAATAGAGCAACAACTGTTCCGAAGGTACTCAGTAGCACACTGATAGCGAGCATCTCTCCTACGACCGCCACACTTTTGACTGAACATCCGAGCCAATCGATCTTGTGTCCCTGATCGTGTTTACCATCTGTAGGGCCGCATCGCCTACAATGTTTCACATCAGGTGCAATGTTTGGCACTAGTAATGATTTCACAACTATTTCCACGGATGATTAAGAGCTGCGCCATAATGTAAGTGCGCTTGTATGTAAATATACGCGTAAGAATTGATACAATATGCACCTATTAAGTGTCGAACGTGAATCTTGGGCAAGTAGATGAGATGATCCAGGAACTTCAAAAGGCAATATCTTATCGTTTAACATACTTTGTTATTGTAAAACTTTATACCGAGCAGGTTAACCAGGGAAAGATGTAGATAACTACGGTGGGACCCAGCGCAAAGCAACTGCTAAACTAATTGGTCCAGCATTGCAACACTGGTTCTCTTAAGTAAACATTCTGTTACACTGAACGATAGGTTGCAACCGACGCACTGCAACAAAATACACACGCATTTTAACATGGATTGTGAAGGCAGCTGATTGCTGTAAAAGCTGCATGCTTATTAAAGTCAGTGAGAAAGGCATGACAAGAATGCACGGTCCCAAGAATGCACAATTAGTTGAGACCGAGTTGACTGGATAGTAGAAAAATCCTCGATCATTTTCCGCATGCAGGCTACCAATTAATATGAAAGAATGGCTTGGATAAACATGGTAAAGTTACGGCACCTAATAAGATAACCACCGTATTCTATTCAAGCCTACATTCTTTTTTCTAATGTAGAAAGAAAGCGTGTAAAAGCTGTACACCGAAAGAAAGAGATAGGAAAGATAGAACGAGATGAATGCCTACCTACAGTAGTGCCAAGTTTAAACAGGTTAGCACGATTTAAAGCAACGTTTCTGGCTTATTGCTTCAACCAATTACACAGCTATTTAACTAGGTTCAGGGACAGTTTGCTGCAGTAGCAAGGAAGTGGGAATCCCCAGACGGTTATTACACATCATAATTTTTTAAATTGGCGGTTGAACAAGCAGTTGTACAGAATTACAGCGCAGTTTTGTGTGTATAAGAAGGTTGCGCATACAAACGCAATAAGACGAGAGTTGAAATTTTCAACCACACAAATAATGTACATCCAGCAGCACTCGAGTAGTAGTTAAAATGAAGCCGCAAGTTGCAGAAACTAATGCCACCCTTCAAAAGTTAGGGGACACAACCATCACAAAGTAACCCAGCCTAACATATCTAATTCCTTTAGTCACGTTGCTATCTACCATGGTCTTAACTTTCTGGTGCTGTTATATGACAGCAGTAATTTAACATCGAGAGCCGAGTTAGTAGGAGATGCAGATAATGCGAAGAGGCGTCGAAGACGTAACATGGTCTTTTTGTTGGTAGCTGTACTCGGATGTATGATAACGTATCACGTCTTCTCGAAGACCATTTCCACTTCCCAGCCGAAGTGAAATGATTATGAACACTATTTGAAGCCGAGTTCGAAACCTTCGCTTTAATCAGGCAGCAACTGATTGAATTCTGACAGAAGCTACTATTGGAGACGTATTGCTTCGACACTTATAAGCTCCAACCTGTATATCGATAGCCACTTGGGAAAAATTGGTTTATTTAAAAACAAAATATTATCCGAGGCATGTCTATAGCAGCTCATCAGCGATTACTCACCTCCAGTACCGAGCACCTTATGTCCAGATTCACTGGACCAGGTAAACAACAATGACTAATCGCGTTGGCAATTACTCGTCTATTCGACCTGCCATGCAGTGGGACGAATAGTTTCGGTTCCGTGTTCTCCATAGGAGTATGCGGTGTGTCGCATGAAGCTTCACGAGGGGCAGCACCCACTTGGAGCTTACGGTTGTCCGGAGCCTGTGGTTCATCTGTTAGATAAGTACATAAAAAGAAAAGTTATGATAGGTGTGTATCGGAAGTGTAACGGAACTAGCATCCAATGTTAGTTGTCAGATAGTAAATCTCCACCATGAGTCATTATGCGGCTTGTGATACACTCTATTCCTTCCCATATATATATATGTATATATAATTCTGGTTTTATCATAACGTAATTAATAGAGGTACCCATTTACACTTCTTACGCTATCTCTCGTTAGTTTTCATCATGATGCAAAAACGTACACAAATATTTCTATTAGTAAATAAATTTTATGATCCACAAACATGTAACGTTGAGCAGCTGTTAGTTGCTAGGACATTCCAACGATGAAATTTCGCACAAATATTAACAGAACCAGCAAAACGGACACGCCACTTGTTCCATCATAATTTATACACGTATAACTCTGCGCTAACGGGCACTTTACCTTTATTGCGAGATACCAGGTGGTTAGGTTTTGGTCGCTGTATCCTGAACGTAGCCCTTCTGTCACATGGCGCTGTACGTGCCCTCAGGAAGACATTTTTCGACTTCGTTTCCACCACACCAGAGCTAGCTGACGACGGGATTCCGTTGCTTCCGCGCAGAAGTGACGGGCGGTGATCGAGGTTACCGTTTTCAGAGTCCTTTTCGTCAGAGAGGCTAAGTTTCCGATTCAGGTAATCCTGAAAATAATATGAGTGACACGATTGGCAAGCGTTCCTTCGCAGGTTTGTGTGCAGGTATATATGTCATGTTTGGGCATGATGAAGGCAATGATTTAAACACACTGATGTGCTTTTCTCAAGGTACACTAAGTTTTCAGAGCAGCTTTGACTTATAATCTGAAAGTATTGGTGGCTTATAGGTAAAATTGTTACTTTTGTCCTAAAGCAAGTCATTATACGCGTCGAATGACTAAACTGACAGGGTATTGATGAAGTTATATCTATAGTTGGTGTTTTGTCCCAGTTTTTTTCTGATCTTCATGAATTCGCCATAAATAAATTTGACGCAAACAAAGTAGTGGTCCGTCGCGATCAGCGAGGCAAACTTAAGAATAACGGCTGGTGGATGAATGGAGTATCGCCTAGTATTAAATCAGATGGTCCGCTAGACGCCGGAAGCAGTAGATGGATTTCAGTCTGCAACGATGTTGACTGACCAGTGGTCTTTGGCGGTATTAACGCAACATAGCAACAAAATGCTCTGTTGACTTAGGCAAAGGCGCGAAGAACATCGGGATAGTTGATTGAAAGGTAACAACAGCACCTGTTACGGGAGCATCGTTGCCATACACAGAAATATTCGTATGGAACGTTTGATCGGTTTGCTCGACCAAATTGGTTTTGGGTGACACAGCAGATGTACGAAACCGACATCGACAGAGCTTCAAATATGCGTTCCGGATGAGGGCGCCTAGGAAATATCCATTGGAATGCAGATGTGCATTGTCAACTTTGAGCCGAAATTCGTTATCTTTTGTCCTCCTCAACCGCCTCAACTTGGCTTTATTTTCCCATATATTTATTTACTTTTGCACTAGATTGCATGATCAACTGTCTGTGTCGGACTTCGTTTGATGGCTGTGCAACGTTGTCTTTCCGACCTGGATCTCAATTTTAGTGATTTCTTTAGCCCACAAGTAGCCAAAGTTCAGATTAGTGCATTAAGCGTAAAGTTTAGACACCAAGAAGAAGGAAATGCATACGGATACAATTCCGTAATCGTGAACGCTCACCTGAAAGATCATCTCCCTACGTTCCTTCTCAAGTTGATGCTTGTGTTCCCGTCGCTCCGCTTGATTGTTCGTATTCGTTCGTCGGTTCTGAATGCTATTCCTCCTGGACCAACTTGGAGGATCGGTGCTAGTGGCAGCTGCAGGGTAGGAACTGGGTTGGACCACAAAGCTTTCCTGAAAAAACAAACAAAAGGAACACTTAAAAGATGTAGGCACTTATCCAGACTATACGGCCATCGACAAGTCAGTGCTTATGTGATATTACAAAACAGATACGTGGCTTGCGGCCATGAAACTGTGCAAAAGAAACCGGCTAGTATAAAGAACGGCCTTTGGTTTTTTGTCTCAGCTTTTCCTCCACTACGTCTTATCCTAGGATAGAGGCTTAAATGTACCATCGCGTTCCACACAGTTCATTGGATTCAGAACAGATCTCAACTGGCTCGTCAATCTGAACTGTTGAAAGCTACTGACAAAGTGCTGCTCATTCTGAAGACATCGCCTGTGTAGGCATAGCGTGTAAAGAAAGAATTGGTGAGCAGCGGTGGACAACACATTTTGGTGTAGTGAACAGTCTCGAAGTTAACAAGAGCTCTATCCGTCGACAAGTAGAAAGCCTAGGATAAACATCCTGTGAAGCGGTAGGTAAAATATTCATTGCTTCTGAGTATTCATATATAAGTGCTTTGAGGCTCCCTCTGATCGGGACAGTCAATGTGCTACGAAGATTTACGTGAGTTTGTCATGAGGAACATGATGAAACGAGGTAACTGAAAACTAAATACAAAGACACTCTGAGAATACGCGTTCCACCATCCTACTTTGGGAGATGCTTAAGCTACTCCAATGGGGTCGTAGATGTTGCAGATACAACAAGCTCATTAGAAAACTATTTAGAGCCCCAAATTTACACGAACGCAAATTCAACGTGGAATTATGCATAAGCAGCTTGTTATTCAGCAGTCAATTCAAACATCTGCAAGCGCGTTAAACTAGTATTTCTGAATGCAGTGCTCAAATTGTAGATTCCGGAGTGGCACCGTCCAGAGCTGTAACACGCAACATTCCCCTCCAAATATAAACGTGAGTCATAACGCAAGTAATGCGTTCTTAGGACTATCACCGTTTAAGTCACATCGAAACGGTAAGGCAGTGCGGCCCCGTAAATGCATATCGAAGGGTGCAAGACGCAACAGCTAAGTATCGCAAAATGCATGAAGCCCTTTTAAAAAATAAACTCGGAAGCAGAACGCAATGGAAGTGCAAAAACAAATTTGAAGGTTTGCAAAACAAATCGGACTTCTTGCATAAAAGGATATTTTGCAAACCTAGCTGGACACATTGCCTGCTAAGCAGAAAAGCTGCAATTTGTTAATTATTGAGGAGGAGTACGGTGACTGGACGAAGTAAGGATCACAATGAATTCTTGCTAATGCAACCGAATTGTGTAAGCAGCAGATGTCACTGTAAACACAAATCTTGTGCGCGAAACTCGATCAGCTTGAACAAAGGCGGCGATTAAGTTTCCCCTCTCTACACATCGGCCTTGCGTAGTTTATGTTAAACTACGTAGTTTATTATGAATTACACAAAGAATACCTACCATTAAAAGTTCACTGTGAAGCACGCGCTTTGTGAATGGTTTGCCTTGGGTAACCTGGACTCCCAATGAAGTAAAGCTTGGCCAATTCGAACACAAAGCAGGTAGGCGGCTATCAAGTAGGCCACAGTCACTCTGTAGGCATTCGAGTATTTGCTGTCGGTGTGTGGGCGAACCTATTCACCTGCACGACTATAGGAACAATGCAGGTTAACCTGACACCACTAAACCCAGTCTAAGTCCATTAGCCTGTTGCGGCAAATCCGGAACGGAATGCCGCCAACCAACCATGCGGCAATTTGTTGTCAGAGAATTGGGAGCCAGGCGACAGGACAATGTTCAGGCCATATTACGGTCACATTATAATGCAACGGAATTTTGAAAGTCCTTTTCCTCTTTGTCATCAGCGTCGTTCACCTCGATCAAAGCCGATGATCAGTTTTTTCCCTGTCTGTCTACGGGTCATCGCGTAGTTTGTGTGGGCGTGTTGGTTAAGCCATGCAGCTACTCGATTGTCGATATGGTGTAGGCTGCCATAACCTTGCTAAAATTCGTCTATCATTATTACCCGTTTGCTTCACAAAAATATTAAAATAAGCCAAGAACGACATTCGCCCACTGCTTGCACTATCTCGTATTCGAGTGCCCAAAAAGTGGCCCGTACATCGTTCTGTCGCCTAACTCCCCATCCTCTGACAACAAATTGCCACAACAGGCAAATAAAGCTGGACTGGGTTTAGGGATGTCATGAGAACCTGCACTGTACCAATAATCGAGTAACTGCATAGGTCCGCCCACCCACTGACAGCAAATACCAGAATGCCTACAGAGGGACTGGGGCCTACTGGGTTGCCGTCTATCTGTTTTATCAGTTATAGTCCCGGTGATCGAATTGGCCAAGGTTTGATTTATTGGGACTTGTTGCCGTTATCGAGATTACCCATGGCAATCCATTCACAAAACGAGTGCTTCACAGTAACGTTTCAATGGTAGGTATCATTTTTGTACTTCCTGATTTGACACATTACCTACGCAAAGGCCGATGGGTAGAGAGGGGAAACTTAATCGCCGCCTTTGTTCGAGCTGGTCGTGGTTCGCGCACAAGATTTGTGTTTGCAGTGGCACCTGCTGCTTACACAATTCGGTTGCATTAGCAAGAATTCATTGTGGTCCTTACTTCATCCAGTCGCCTTGCTCCTCAGTTATAACTAACAAATTGCAGCTTTTCTACTTAGAATGCGATATGCTTAATTTGGTTTGCAAAATATCCAAGTTGTTTAGCAAAAGGACCAATGTGATTTTCCAAACGTCCAAGATGATTCGCAAAATGTGCAATTTGTTTTTCCATACGTCTAATTTAGCTGGGGAATTGTATATGTTGAGGAGCCTCATTGTTAGCGTGCGGCAACAGTGTTGCTTAGGTTGCTGCTTGTTGCACCAACACATCTTTGCTGATTTGTGGGCATGTGGGAGATTCCGGCAGCATAGATCTAGGGATTTGATTCTGAAAGCATTCCAAGCTAATAGTGTAGGCTATGAGGAAGCTGTGAGTTAGCGAATTATAAATATACTGACTACTGGCCGATCCCAGTAAAAATATTTTCAGGTGGAGTCAGCAGAGCACTGTCGTTACTTGGAATACCCACCAGTATAACTGTTCTACTGGGATATCCATTTCTCGAAATGGTCCATCCGATTTACATACTTACTTTCCTACGATGTCAAAACCAGAAAAATGTTTCCATTATCGCAGTCACGCACTCGTACTTCAGTATATGTATGACGTCATGAGATGACCGACTGATCGCAAGTTGGCTAGTTACAAATAAGTAGATGCGACGAGAACGAAAAAGAACGACTGTGCACTGCAAAACAGTCATCCACTGTTCGTGCTCGAGGCTGTTGTGCGTTCGGTCTCGTCACCCATTGTCCGTACTGCAACAGCACATAAAGATCCGATCGACCTGCAGTCAAGTTGTGCAGACGTCCCGTGTAGTGTATCCCGTCATCTTCGATGAAGGCACTAAAGCGACGTCCCAAACGTTTTCTGAATAGTGTTCGATGTATGCACAACAGCAAATTCACTACCGGTTGTAGTACTGCTATTGCACGAAGTTACCGAATCTCATATTATCTCAATCGCTTTGAAAACGAACAAATGCAACACTTGTTTTGGGTTTCGATGTACTGTTGGTGTGTCTGAAATGTGCCACGCGATCCCCGATGAGGTCACTGTTTATTATAAAGCACAACTTTGACATTGAAAAACTGGGACAGCATCCCAATTGGAAAGTTTCGGTACATCTTTTTCCCAACTCGGTCTTCCACAGCCCGTTTCATGCCAAGCGCTGCACACGCAGCCCAATGGCCGAGTGATCAAGGTGTAAGCCATCCAATATATGATAAATGGTCCCGCTCCCAGTTCAGACAAGCTCTACCTGTATTAAGTAGCCCTAACCCCAGACCTACCAAAAGACCAAACTTATCCATTAAAAATGTTACACGTTCCGGCGAAAAACAAGCAACATTAGCGATAAACAACTGTGATGCCAAGCCAGTTGAAAATTCTATAAAATCTTCTGTTGTACCGCAAGGCGCAAAGAGTTATGCACAAATTGCACGATCATCGCTATTAGCTGGGCAGCACATTACAAACTGTGTGAATAACGTCGTTGCACAGGAGAATTCTTGCTGCAGCCTTGACTTGTCTTCCCCACAAGACAAGACCAACACTCCCGCACGACAAACCTCCACCCAAAAAGAACTGCAACAAACTAAATTACTACGCAACCAACAAGCGATGACAGTCATATGTTCAAACGTACCAGAACCCACCAGCGAGTCGTTAAAAGGTCGACAAGCCGAAGAGCAAAATCGCTGGACTGAGATAAGCTGCGCACTAGGACTAAACGTTCTCCCAACTAGTCTTACACGTCTGTCACGAAACCCATCGTCTCCTCACGTAGGGGAACCTCGGTTACTGCGAGTAACATTTGGCAACACAAAGGACTTGGAGGATGTTCTCTTAGCAAGCCACAGTCTACCGAACTCTTCTCTCAGTGCCCGCATTTTTCCAGACATGCCATGGAAGGAAAGACAAAAGCGAAAATCCGACCCAACCGCGTCTCGTCAAAATGTAATGAAGAAAGTGGTGTTGGTTCATGGTGTGCCCGAACTGAAACATGGCGACACCAGTGAAAGACAAAAACACGATATTGATGAGTGGCGCTACATCACAGAACTCTATGGCATGCAGAATGTTGTGGCATTCGACGTCAGCCGCTTAGCTTCCTCCCCAAACTATCAAGGGAGCGGGCCGAAAATTTTGAAAGTTACCTTGGCTACGCCGGAGATGGCATCAATGGCAATTAACGTGTGGTACCACAGCAGAAGGCTAGGACCACCAGAAGTACGACTGAGACCATTCCTGCAAGCAGTACAGACCACTGGTACAGTTGAGTCAGACCTGGCTTTTCCGACCATAGACCAGCCAAGCGTGCAAACACTCGTGTCAAAAAACGTGGGCAGACCGGCACTGTTTGTGCCGGTCAAACACAGCGAACCCACCTCCTAA